TTCAAGGTCTCCCTTTTACTTGGTTATGGCTACCCCAGAATTTGTGACAAGCACCTGACTGTTTTATCTTGCCAAGCCCGGAGACTGCTGGCTCTCCTGTTGAGGGAGTGGGATGAGAGAAGTCTGCATTCTCCCACCCCTTTCCTCCCTCCTCTCTGCTGTCTTTGGAGAGGTATTCACCACTTGCTTCCAGCATCCTTGGTTGGGGGACCATCGGGCTTGCTATTTACAAGCTGGATGCAGGCTGCCAAACTGTTAGGCCTTGTTTAATTTTCTTGTTTCAGTTTCCCTATTTTTCCCACTTTGGAATTTTTCTAGCTTCTTGCTATCCTATAACGGAATATGAAAAACATTCTGGAGTTGGATGGTGGCAATGGTTTTACAACAACGTGAGTGCACTTAATACCACTGAATTGTACACTGAGACCTGGATAGGAGGGTAGACTTTATGTTCTGTATATTTTACACCATATATGAAAATTAACCTTCCCACGCAGCTAGCTCTCAAGTCACTGACTTATCCTACTCTTCCATTCATCCTATACTTGTCTGAAATTCAAACTCTTAATGGGTTTCTATAACCTTACAAAAAGTAACAGCTTTCCCTCAAAATCAAGATCCAAATGTCGATCCTGTTCTAGATTCCCATGGGGTCACTTTTTAGATCATAGAAAATGGCACCAGTCCCAGGAGAACTATATAACCAGTCCCAGGAGAACTACTATGATTACCTTTTTAAAAAGAAAGAAGAGTTTCAATTAAAGGTAAAAATTTAGCACACAATTTATTATTATAATATACATACATGACTTGGCCAAAGTTCTTGGGAAAATATAAAACAGTGTATGCTATTAGACTGCCTTCTAAATTAAAATGTAAATAATTTGCCCTAGCCAGTGTTGTTCAGTGGTTAGAATGTAGGCCCACAGCCTGAAGGGTTGAGGCTTCAATTCCTGTCAAGGGCCAGTACCTTGGCTACAGGTGCAATCCTGGCCCCAGTCATGGTGTGATTACCAGTCAGGGCACAGCAAGGGTTGTGGGCTCCGTGCAGGAGGCAGCCAATCAATAATTCTTTCTCATCATTAATGTTTCCATCTCTCTCTCCCTCTCCCTTCCTCTCTGAAATCAATAAAAATATATTTTAAAAAAAAAAAGGGAAACAAAGAGCCAAATTTAACTTTTTACAACTGAGCAAGGAGACCCTGTCAGTGTATCTGTGTGTCTGGTCTGTGGTTATATGTCTGCCAACATTTCTCAAGGTGAGTTCTGAGGGATGATTAGGGCTATCACTAAAAAAAAATTAAAAAAATTAATCCATACTCAAATGTTTAATATGCTAACAGAAACAATGGGTCTCTAAGAGAGGATCAGAAAACCCATAGCATGTTAAATGAGCATTAAATCTTCTTATACACATAATCTATTCAGTCTAAAACCTTCCAAATACAGCCTCTGGTCAATGCATTATCAGAGGCAAAGTCTGACTCATATAAGTGACTAGTTCAAACCTAAGTATAGCTCTAAGACTATAGATACAAGACTTATCAGCAGGAAGCCATAAAACATTGTTAGAGCTACCCATTCAAACATTTAGAGAAGCAACTGCCATACAAGCAAGTTTAAAATTCCAAAACCATTGGTCAGAAAGCTATGGCCCACAGGCCAAACAGGGCCCTTCACCTATTTCTTCAGTCCATGAGATAAGAATGATTTCTTTACCATTATGTTAATGGTTGAAAAAAGAAAACAAGAGATGTGTATATGATACACAAATACTAACAGAATTTTTGAAATACACATGAAATTCTAATTTGTGTCCATGAATAGTTTAATTGGAGCACAGCCATGCTTGTTTGTTTATATATTATTATGGCTACTTTCTCCCTGAAATGACAGCTCCATTATAGAGTCTCTGTTGACCAATGTTGATTTGTTTCCAAAAGACACCAAATCCACTCTAAAAGAATAGTATAGTATACAAAAGTGCTCATTTCTGACAGAAATGCCAAATAATAGAAATGTCTGGAGCAATTAGCAGTACATCTCAAAGAGGGATCGAGGCTCTCGCTGTTAATAGTCAAAGGGCCACAGTACTGAAGTAGGGAATTTCGGTGCACCTGTAAAGAAGTCAGTAATGACTCATCCGAGCCAACTATGCATCACCTGTTAGCAGTCAGCAGTAATCCAATGATCCATCATAAAATTAACAGCCTCAAATATAACTGACTAATACCCTTAGAAATGACGGACCAATGAAAAGGAAATACTAGAGGTTTTTATGATAGTGGGCTTGAGAGTAACAGGGATACCATAAAGGAGTAATAATCAACCCCCATGAACAATGTCAGCCCCCAAATGAAAAGAACATTATTTCACCTTTTTGTTGTTTTTGTTAATCCTCACCCAAGGATATTTTTCCATTAATTTTTTAGAGAGAGTGGAAGAGAGAGGGAAAGACTGAGAGAAACATATAGATTGATTGCCTCCTGGCCACACTTGACCAAGGGTCAGAGAAGATGAGCCTGCAACCAAGATACATGCCGTTGACTGGAATAGAACCTGGGACCCTTTAGTCTGCAGGCCAGTGCTCTATTCACTGAACCAAACTGGCTAGGGCAACATTATTTCATCTTTAAAAAAAAAATAAAATAAAACTGTTATTGTTGAAAGTATTGCATAGGCCCTCCTCCTCCTCTCCCCGCCCCCCGCCCCAGCCCCCCTTCACTTCTTCCAGCCTGTTCCAGTCCTCTCCCTGCCCAGGTCCTCCCCACCCCATTGTCTGTGTCCACAGGTTATGCATATATGCATACAAGTTTGAAGAAAAAATTAGTCTGACAGTGAATAGCCTATTTAACAGAAGTCAAGTTTGCTTACTACCTTTGTGTTCTTGGTAAACGGATTCCGGGGGCCAGTGTTCTCCTAGACTAGAATCCTTAAATGCAGGTCAATGATAACAGTGTTTGCACATGGTCCCTTCCCTCAGGCGGAGGCGGCCCCTCCCACACTCAGGTGCACTCACTGACATCCAGGAGAAGGTTTCCCTGATCACCTGATTAAAATGCAAACCAACCCCTCTCCCCTCTCTCTCCTTCCCCCTTTCCTTCCCCTCTCCTTTCCTTCTCTCTCTTCCTTTCTCCTCTTACCTGCTTAGACTTCCTCCATGGCCCACTCTTCCTTCTACCAGGCTATATATTTTATGTCTGTATGAGTTTAACAGCTGTCTCTCCTCAAAAGAAAGTATGCTCCAGAAGAGCAGGGATTTATTCTTGCCCATTTTGCTCATTACTGTGTACAAGCTCCCAAATGCTACACATGATCGAGAAGGCCTTATTGAATAAATCAGTAAGTGAATGTGTGCGGCTACCAGGAAACTACAAATGTGGCTAAATGATTCATTCACCATTTTTTTGGAGGGGGTAGGGGGGAATAGGGGGAATCCATACAAAGCTCATCTATTATAGATTGTCTAAGTCAGCAAAAAATTTGAACTAGGTAGTCCAGAAAACTACTTTGAATTTTTTTCTCTAAGTGAAAACTTAATTGTGTTTAATTTGTGCCACTTTCTGTTTCCATATCCCAAAAGAAGTGAGGTGGAAGTGTGGGCAAAGGACAAGTATAATCTACAGTAAATTGTATCAGAATATAATGCCCTCACATAAGCATTTAATGGCATAATTAGAAGAATCTGCTAATAGTGGCCTGGTTACCTAAGCTATGGAGGCCTGGGGATTACCCAGTAAGTTTTTGAAGGAACGCTTGGAAACTCATCTGAGTTGATGACAGAAGAAGGTGGCGTAGGTGATCTCCTTGCTCTTCTTCTGTTTCTGACCCCCTGAGAGTTGATTTAACACAACTTTGGTTTCTCTGAAGAAGGCGGAGTTGACATAAAACTCAGCTAGTTTTTCTATGAGTGGCTTATCTCTCTTGGAAGGCTTTTTTGACAAAGGAGGCAAGAGCATACAATGGAGTCAAAACAGCTTCTTTAAAAAATGGTGCTGAGACAGTGAGGGTGTATAAGGGCAGAGGGTGGGGTGACAAGCAGGTGGAGGGGAGCTATGGGGGGGCAGAAACTATTGTAATAATCTGAACAATAAAGATTTATTAAATTTAAAAAGATTTATTAAATTAAAAAAATAAACGAAAAGTGCTGGCGATGATGTGGAGAAAAAGAAGCCCTCATGCACTGCTGGTGGGAATGCAGACTAGTGCAGTCATTGTGGAAAACAGTATGGAGTTTCCTCAAAAATTTAAAAATGGAACTGCCATTTGACCCAGTAATATATCCCAAGAAAACAGAAACACCAGTCAGAAAGGATATACGCACCCCTCTGTTCATAGCAGCACAATTAACAATAGCTAAGATTTGGAAACAGCTAAGTGCCCAGCAGCACATGAGTGGATTAGAAAACTATGCTACATCTACACAATAGAACACCACGCTGCTATAAAAATGAATTCTTACCATTTACAGCAGCATGGATGGATCTGAAAAGCATTATGTTAAGTGAAATAAGCCAGGCAATCAAAGAAAAATATCACATGATCTCACTCATTTGTGGAGAATAAAAAACATTATAACCTGATGAACAAAAAGATAGATACAGAGGCAGTAAAGCACCAAACAGATTTTCAAATTACAATGGGAAGGCTGGGGAGTGTTGGGGAGAGAGGGAAATAGATCAACCAAAGGACTTGTTTGCATGCATATAAGCACACCAATAGACACAAAACACAATGGGGGGAGGGGAGAGGGAGGGCATGCAACAGGGAGTAGGGGAGGCAGGGAGAAGGTCAGTGGGGGAAAAAGGAGATATATGTATTAATATATATAATATTTTAAACAATAAAAATTTTTCAAAAAAGAAAACTATGGTACAAATGCACAATGGAATACTATGCTGCTTTAAAAAGAAAGAATTCTTACCATTTGTAGCAGCATGGATGGAATTGAAGAGCATTATGCTAAGTGAAATAAGCCAGGCAGTGAAAGAAAAATACCACATGATCTCACTCATTTATAAAGGACATTATAACCTGATGAACAAAAAGATAGATACAGAGGCAGAGAAGCATCGAACAGACTGTCAAGTTACAGCAGAAAGTCTGGGGAGGGTTGTGGGAGGTAAGAGATTAACCGAAGGACTTGTATTCAGGCATATAAGCATAACCAATGGGCACAAGACACTGGGGTGGTGGGTGAGGGTATGTATGGGGGAGGAGGGGTGGTGGGGGGAAGGTCAATGAGGGGGGGGGGGAAGGAGACATGTGTACTACTATTTGTAATACTTTAAAAATAAAATTAAATTTAAAAAAAGAAAGTCAGTGTGAAGCATTTTATTGTAATAATAAAACCTGAAACTTATATGTAGTGTAAGGGAGGCAGGTGGGGGTAGGCAGCAATAATTTTTCTCACTAAATCACTACATAGTACAGCAAAGAAGTGAGAAGGGGAAGGAAAAGCCAGGAAACTGAGATTTGCAGGGAGAGTTGAGCATCAAAAAATAAGAGATGCTGAAGGTGTGATCAATGACCAAGCATAATTTAAAAATATATATATTTTATTGATTTTTACAGAGAGGAAGGGAAATGGATAGATAGTTAGAAACATCAATGAGAGAGAAACATTGATCAGCTGCCTCCTGCACACTTCCCACCTGGGGATGTGCCCGCAATCAAGGTATATGCCCTTGACCGGAATTGAACCTGGGACCCTTGAGTCTGCAGGCCAACGCTCTATCAACTGAGCCAGACCAGTTAGGGCCCAAGCATCATTTTCTTCTTAAGATAGCACTCAAGGCTTCACTATAATGGCTAGGCTTTTACTGGACTTAAAGTGTCTACAAATAATAACTCCAATTTAAACTTTGTATAAAAGTTAAAGTTCTTAAGATTTAGGAAGTGGAGCCTGGATAACTATCCTCTATAATAAAACCCTAACATGCAAATCAAGCGAATGGCAGAATGACTGGTTGTTATGATGTGCACAGACCACCAGGGGGTATGCTCTTCATGCAGGAGCATGGCTCACAGCTCAGCCAGAAGCCAGGCTCTCAGCTGGTGAGAGCAAAGGTGGTGGCAGGAGCCTCTCCCACCTCCGTGGCAGCACTAAGGACCCCTTGCAGGTCCTGGACTGTGAGAGAGCGCAGACCAGGGTGAGGGACCCCAACCCCCCCCTCCCCCCCCCCCCCCCCCCGTGCGCAAATGTCATGCACTGTGCCTCTGGTGACATTATAAAAGTCATGAATATCTATTAGAAAACACACACACACACACACACACACACACAGACACACACACACAGGATGGGGAGTAGGGGAAGCCAGGCGACGAAGATTTCAGAGTTCAATGCTGACCAGGGGACAGATAACTGGAGTGTCCAACATCACAGTGAAAACGACTTGCTTTTAAAGGCAGAGGATTTAGGCGGAGAGGGGTTTGGGGCAGTGGAAGCAAGGGCTCTTCCCCTCCCCATTTCAATTTAGGGTAGGGCTCTTCATTCAACCCAAAGACGTCTCAATTTGGAGATAACTGAGAAGAGAAACCAAGATGGCGGCAAAAGTAAATGCCTAACTGCAGCCTCACACAACAATTTCAAAATATACAACTAAAATATAAAGTAGACATCATCCAGAACCACAGGAAAGTTGACTGACTGGAAATTCTACACCGAGAAGGAAAGAGAAAACCAGAAGGAAAATCAGAGGAGCTGTAAAAGCTTAAGGTACGGAGACATGGTGCGCACATGGGGAGAGAACGGAGCCGGAGAGGAGGGGGAGGCTGAGTGCCTGCTGGCGTACCCTAACAGGAAGGAGATAAAAGCTCCGGACTGTGCTGAATCCCAGTTCCGACTGCACTGAACCCCAGTTCTGGGCGAGACCCTGGGGACACAGGCTAATACAGAGAGATTCTAAGCTGTAAGGCAGAAACTCAGGGGAGCGGTGAAAAGCAGAGCCCCGGAGTCGAGCACATTGCACGCAGAGGACAGACTGTTGACTGTGCCGCTGGATTGCCCTAGCAGGAAGTAGACTGCACTGAACCCCGCTTCCAACTGCACTGAACCCCAGTTATGGATGACTATTTTAAAGATTGATATTATAATATCACTAGAGGCCTGATGCATGAAATTCATGCACTGAGGGTGGGGGTATTCCTCAGCCCAGCATGCACCCTCTCCAATCTGGGACCCCTCAAGGGATGTCTGACTGCCAACAGGGATTGGATCTAAACTGGCAGTGAAACATCCCCCTCACAGTCCTGGACTCCTGGCTCCCAACTGCCTGCTCACCTGCCTGCCTGCCTAATTGCCCCTAACCACTTCTGCCTGCCAGCCTGATCACCCTCTAACCACTCCCTGCTAACCACTCCCTAACTGCACTCCCCTGCTGGCCAGGTTGCCTTCAACTGCCCTCCCCTTCTGGCTGAGCACCCACAACGGCCCTCCCCTGCCAGCCATGTTGTGGCTATGCTAATTGACTGCCACGCCACCATCTTTGAGGGTGTGGCAGTCAGTTAGCATATCCCCTCCTTATTGGCTCTGGGCACCGCCATCTTTGCAATGGTGTGAGGGTCAATTAGCATAGTTCCTCTTTATTAGATAGGATCCACACGGTTGGGAAGCTGTAAGTCACTCAGCCAGGCATCTTCCCACTAAACCACAAGGCTTATCCAGGGAAAGCTAAATGGCACATTAATTATTCAGTTTCTCAAACAAATGTTGATGCACATGGTACAACCACTTTAAAAACCATTCTTTTAAATAAAAAAAAATTAAGCTTATACCTAACATGTGATCCAACCATTTTACTCCCAGTTGAGCCCAACGAAATGAAAGTGTCTCTATGTAACTGTACAGACATGTATACAAATAAAATGTTCATAGCACCTGTACTTGCATTAGGCAAAACCAGTGAAGTCCACTGCTGTCAATAAAGCTGTTTAAACAAACGTTCATGCACATACTTGACGTTTATCAGTATTTCTTTCTCAACTGTTTTTCGATTAAGTAGAAATCCACTCTTCACTTTTACTTGGTAGCAGATGTTATGGAAACTTAACACGGCTCTCTCAGGAAGCGTCTTCGGGTCTTTGGGGGTGGTCCTGGGGAGGCCATCGCTGTTTGTGACATGGAGATAACAACTCAGTAAGTTCCGGACGTCATCGGGAGAGTGTCTGCCTTACTATAGAGAGAAAAGCAACAATAAGTTGACAGTTAAATAAATGTACTAGATAACAACACACTTAAAACAAGTCTGTTTTGTGACAAACTTCCAGTTATAAAAGTAATAAGTCCTGGGGATGTGCAGCACAGTAAGTATAGTTAACAATACTGTATTATATGTTAGAAAGTGGCTAAGAGATCTTTAATGGTCTCACGCAAGAAAAGAAGAACGTGTAACTAGCGATGAATGTTAACAACTTACTGTGGTAATCATTTCACAATATATATAATTATTGAATCATTATGTTCTGTACCTGAAACTGTTATATGTCGATTAAATCTCAATTAAAAAAGAGTATTCCAGCCAGTGTGGCTCAGCATTTGAGCATCAACCTATGTACCAGAAGGTCAGGGTTTGATTCTGGTCAGGTTGCATGCCCAGGTTTTGGACTCCATCTCCAGTAGGGGGCATGCAAGAGGAAGCTGATCAATGATTCTCTCTCATCACTGATGTTTCTCTCTCTCCCACTCCCTTCCTCTCTGAAATCAATGAAAATGTATATTTAAAAAGAGTAAAAATAATAGAGACTCTAAATCTTTAAAAAGAATGTAAAATACCTCATTAGTCACTTTTATATTGATTACATGTTTGGTAAAAATATTTTGGATTTATTGAGCTCAAAAAGATATATTAACATTAAAAAATTATTCCCATTTTAAACTGTCCTGCAATAAAGAGCTCTATTTTCAGTGAACAGCTCATAGAACTGTAATAAGAAAAACCTTGGGATCCCTATCAAAGAGGTAGACACAACTCTGAATACATATACTCCAACTGGATATCAATTAAATATCTAATAAGTCCAATAGGAAGAGTATAAAAATTACTCAAAACTCGTAAAACAGGAAAGAAATGAGTGGAGTTAAATCTATCTAGCTGGAAAAGAATTTTATGGTATGATTCAAGATCAGAGACTACATGATCACCTTCACCCCCTATCACTGTTTTTGATATTTTGATGGTAATTTTGGAGGTTCTGATATAGGCATTACCAAAAAAAAATGGCTTAGCCAGGCAGTTAAGGATAAGAGAAAGTTTTCTGAATTTATAGCTTCAGGCTTTCTATCACTGCTTACAATGCTTCTCTAATCAGTAAGAAAATAAACTTCAAAATTGTTTGAGGTGACATATTTAATTAATGGGTAAACATACTTAGATTCCAGAAAGATTTAGAATTAAGTATAAAAATGATTATGAAAATCAATCCAGCCCTGGTCGGGTAGCTCTGGCCCTGATACACTGAGGTCATGGGTTTGTCCCCAGTCAGTGCACATACTAGAATCAACCCATGAATGAACAAATAAGTGGAACAACAAATCTGTTTCCCTCTCTTTATCCCTCTCCCTCTTTTTCTAAAATCAATTTCTAAAAAGAGGAATATATCTACAATGGAATATTACTCAGCAATAAAAAGGAATGAAATCTTGCCATCTATTACAACATGGATGGATCTATTCTGCTAAGTCTTTCATATTTAATATCAAATGAAACCGGGAGGAACTACGTAATTAAAACCTAGTCATCTCAATTGAATAGTTCTCTATTTTCCAACACCCACTGACCTTTCCAGCCACTGGCATCCCAAAGGGCTGTCACCACTCACTCAGCAGTTCCAGGGCTGGGACCTCAGGGTCCCTGTGCTCAGAGGCGGAGCACTCACAGTCATTCACAGAACCGCGGGGATGAGTGCCCAGACAGTCCCTGCGCGAGCTAAGGAAGCAGGTCCTACTTCCCAGGACGTCAGGCGTGTGTCCTGTGCCCTCCCAGCGGGAAGCTTCTCCCAAACCTCCCGGCTCCTCTCCAGGCTGCCTCCCCCAGGGACCCCACTCGCGGGCGGGCGCTCCTGGACTCCCTCTCCCCTTCTGCGCGCTGGGCACTCCGTCTGTAACCACAGACTCGGATCAGTCCCGGGCGGGTCAGCCCCTGGTGGGAAAGCCAAGCCGGGCAGGAGGCGACCTTCCCTGGACCAACGCCCACAGTCCCTCCCGCAGCGCGCCCCCCGCGCGCCCTGCACTCACGCGCGCGGCTAACACCTGGGGAGGCGCCGGCCCGCGGTCACGGTCACGGTCAGGAGCTGTGGGCAGCGGTCAGCGAGCTGGAGGCGAGGAGAAGAGCACAGTGGGAGCGAAGGAGGATTGCACCTGGCACTCCTCCACCTCGGGCTGCGGACCCGGGAGAGCGCCGCCCCTCCCTTGAGCCCCAGGCTCCCGGGGTCCGAGCCCCCCAGGAGGGCAGAGGGCGTGGCGCGCCTGAGCGCCGCGGCGGTAGCGCTGGTTCTGAGTTCTGTCTGCACTGGACCCTGCTGCCACCCGCCCGCGGGCCCGGGTCAAGGAGCACCCCGGGACAAATGAATACTCTGTGTCTGGGGCTTGGAGGAGATGGACAGCTGGCCACGAGCCGGGTGATCCCCGGACGCCACCCCAGCTTATCAGTACCTCGTCTCCCCGCGTGGATCTGGTCACCGCCGGGCCCCACCTGAGACCAGGGGACGTGGACGCCTGGGCTTTTTTCACTGTCACCCGCTGAGCATCCAGAGCAAGTGGTGGTCTCCATTGAATGAGCTTCTGAGACATTCGTTAGGTTTCGATGCCCCAGGGCCAATGGAATCAGGAGCTAAATCTATGGGGCAACTGGGGGATGGGGAGGGGAAGAAAACTTTCTGAATGGAAATATGAGTGGAATCAGTTTACATGCATTCTTCACAGTCCTGTAAGTATGGAAAAGCTGGAAAGTGATTTGCAGATTCGGGAAAAGGATTGGTTATTGGCTTTCTGAGTGTGAATGGCCATGTCCAGATTCACCTGCTGAAGCTGCTTCCTGAAATTAGTACCTGATTCTAGGTAGGTAGTTTCTGGTTTGCATTTACAAACCCGTTAAAGTGTTTCTTAGACCCGAAGAATTACTGTTAATGCTTTACCCCGTACAAGGAAGTTTTAGCCAGGAGACTTCAGTAAGAATATTGATTATATGGTTTTAAAATTATATTAAAAATACAATACTGTATACTTTTAAAGGACTTAAAAGTGTATATCTATTAAGCACCCAAACACTCAGGTGAATTTGGGGTTGTTGGTGGTGGGTTTTGTTGTTGTTGTCATTATTCAATTTCTGAATCACATGAAAGACCCTTAAAACCCCACATACAAATACATTTGTCATTTTAAGCCAAGATTGGGAAAAATTCTCCAATGGCTCTTGATAACTGTTTGCAAAATTAAAAAAAAAAAAGCCTTCTAAAGATAAAACTTTATTGATATATCAGTAAAAATGAAAAAATTTTCAGAAAGGCAACCAAGAGGGAACTGCTAAAAATGGAGAAAACACACATGACATTGATGAAAAAGCACATAAAAAACAACAGGCTAGTAAGCTGAATATAGCATTGTGCAATTACATAAAATAAAAACAAACCAAAAAAAAATACATAGAAAATAGTTGACAATACAAAAAAAAATGTTTGTCTTCTGGATAATAACATGACTATTTTTTTTTCTGCGTTAGTGAAATTTTCTAAATTTGATATAATACAGATATATAACTTTTTTTTTTTTTTTTCAACAGAAGTTAGCTTTTATTAACTGTGAATTGTGTTACAAAAGAGCCAGTTTAGTCAAAAAGACCAAAGCCCATGTCATCATCAGACTCCTCAGATTCTTCTTTCTTTGCTTCCACTTTCTTCTCCTCGGCTGGGGCAGCAGCGGTGGAGGGACCAGGACCTCCTGCTGGTGCAGCACTAGCTGCAGGGGCAGGTCCACCAGCCCAGACATTGCAGATGAGACTCTCAAGGCTGACATTGGCCAGAGCCTTTGCAAACAAGCCTGGCCAGAAAGGCTCAACATTTACACCAGCTGCTTTAATGAGGGCATTCATCTTATTCTCCATCATCGTGCAGGATAAGGGCCCAGTAGATGCAGGGGAGCTCTTTTCTAACAAAAGGCTTGAAAAATCTTTCAAAGACCCCAGTAGATTCCAACATCCCCCTTCACCACTGTGCACATTCTCCCTCTAGGCATGAGTTGCTTGACTCTCTGAGGCTTCTATGATAAAGTCAAGATTCTAAAAGTTATGTAAGCATCAAATCTCTAGGGTTTGTGTTCCAGTTCTTTTTAGAGCTGCAGAAGTTCTCTTCTCTCTTGGAACATTCGGGGTCTAAACTTTCCTTGTTTTTAAAATATATTTTTAATGACTTCAAGAGAGAAAGGGAGAGGGAGAAAGAGATAGAAACATCAATGATGAGAGAGAATCACTGATCGGCTGCCTCCTGCATGCCCCACACTGGGGATCGAGCCCACAGCCTGGGCATGGGCCCTGGCCAGGAATTGAAACTTGATCTCTTGGTTCATAGGTTGACACTCAATCAATAAGCCATACCATCTGGGCTAAACTTTTCTTTTCAGACTACCTTCCAATATACATACACACTGATTCCAACTCCCTTGAGGGTAAAAAGAAAAACCATCCTATATTCCTATATAATAAAAGCCTAATATGCTAAGTGTCCAACTCTTTGACTGAGACTGTTCGACCAGTCTCTATGCTGTGCACTGACCACCAGGGCAGACACTCTGACCTGTAGGTTAGCTTGCTGCTAGGGTCTGGCAAGAAGAGCTGGACATGCCCTGGAGCCCTCCCGTGGTCCCTCTCCAGCCCTGATCATGCACCCTCCCCCAATCTGGGACCCCTTGGGGGATGTCAGAGAGCCATTTTGGCCTGATCCCCACAGGCTAGCCTAAGGATGCCCACCGGGTGCACAAATCTGGGCACCAGGCCTCTAGTGTAAATATAATACAAACAGCCCACAGGTACATATTTCATTCTGAAATGTTACCGTCCTCTTTCACTTTCATAAATATACTCTACTCCTTCCTTTGTATGTGGTCACCAGTCTCATCACTTCTTCATTTACAGTGTTTAAGGGAATCTCTTCCCATTCCCTCTGACCTTCTATTAGCTTAGCCCTTTATTACTTTATATCTGGAATGTTTTCTAATTATTCTCTGCTCACAACACTCTCTCCTCTAATACAACCTAAACTATCCTACACTTTGTTCCCAGTACAATCTTTATTCTAGAACCAACAAAGTCTCTTCATATCCGGCTTGTTATGAATTAACAAAATACTGCTATGAGAACAAATTGTCGAAACACCAGTTGTCCTTCTCCCCAAGGAAAGAATCAGCTCCAAACCCCTGAGCCTGAGAAGCACAGCCACCACAGCCTGGGACCAAAAGGCCTGTCCCCACTCTTTGGTGAGACAGCCATGCTGCAACGCTAGAGGCCAACATGCCTCTCACAGTCATACCTCTGATTTTCCCACTTCTGTCCTTTTGCTAACACTCTTGCTTCTCAGGCCTTTCCCCACTCTCAATCTTCAAATCTAAGATATAATTTAAAAATGTGTTCTCATTGATTTTTAAAGAGAGGGGTAGAGAGATAGAACTATTAATGGGAGGTTTACAGAAGTTAGATGTAGGCCTCACCTTTGGGTAAGTCAAAATGGGGGGATTTACAGAAGTCAGTATATAACTCTGCTCCTAGCAGCATAGTAAGGATACCAGCAGGATCATAAAGGAAAGACACAGGCAGAGTCTGCAGGACTCCCTGTGCAGGCTTCCTTATGGCCTCTCTCTCCCACACGGGGTCACGCAGAGCACACTCATCTCAGCTATGAAAGCTCAACAACATGGGTGCAATATTTTGTCCCAGGGGAGCCCACTAGAGACTTAAGAGCCCAAGCTTCATCTTAGGGGCTGAGTATGTAGACACATTCTGCCTAGATTGTATCAAAATGTCAGACTCCCAGACATTCAGCATAAGCAATACTGTCTGCACAAACAATCTAAGCAAAACCACTCTTATCGGTTAACTCTTGACTGGGGACACATTGTGACCCAACTTCTCAGATACCAGCTAAGGACCAATCTTAGGAGCAGGCTTTTCTGAAGATAACAGTCCCTGATGTGCTGTGTTAGCTGTTTTCTGCAAAGTAAGGTACTCCTGTTTTCTAACTTAACAAACTAAATCTTACCAACTGCTCAAATAACCCATTTAAAGAAATAATTAAAATCATAAATACGGTCAATCTTCATTCTTTTAAATGTCCCATCATTTTCTATAAATGTAGTAAGATTTCAACTTTAAATCAAAAAACCTAAATCATTTATTTAATCACACATTTGAATTGGACAGGCAAAATTGTTCTCAGAGTCCAAATTCTATTCAATCATATAAATATCCTAAATATTAAAAGGCTAATATGCAAATCGACTGAATGGCAGAATGACTGGTTACTATGGCACACACCTACCACAAGGGGGCAGACGCTCAGTGCAAGAGCTTCCCCCTGGTGGTCAGTGCGCTCCCACTAGGGAAGTGCCACTCAGCCAGAAGCAGCGCTCATAGCTGGCAAGCCCAGTGGTGGTGGCGGGAGCCTCTCCTGCCTTTGCTGCAGTTGGGCATCCCCTGAGGGCTCCCGGACTGCGAGAGGGTGCAGGCCGGGCTGAGGTAACCCCCCCCCCAGTGCACAAATTTTGTGCACTGGGCCTCTAGTATAAAATAACCAAAAGGGGGAATTCTTTAATATAAAAATATTAACATGGATTTCATATTTCATTATCTTAAATACTTCTATGATTAATTCTAAATCTTCTTAGAATGAAAATTGCTTTAATACTAAAAAAACTAAATGTCTCACTAGCATTGTTGGCAGATATACAATCTTCTTAGAATGAAAGTTGCTTTAATACTAAGAAAACTAAATATCTCACTAGCATTGTTGGCAGATATATCTTTTCAATGTCATATAGTTAGAATCATACAGTATGTAGCCTTTCCAGACTGACTTCTTCACTTAATAATATGCATTTAAGTTTCCTCCATGTCTTTTCATCACTTGATAGCTCATTTCTTTATAACTCTGAATAATATGCCATTGTCTAGATGTACTACAGTTTATCCATTCACCTACTGAAGGATATCTTGGTTGCTTCCATTTTGGCATTAGTGTGATTTGGAAACTGGAGATTTTTACAGAGAATGATTTCTTGCCCTGCCCCTGATCTGTGGTTGATAGGTAACTTCAAGATGAGTTGTTGTGATATCCCTGCATTTATGTTTCATATTAGCTAATTCTGAATGCCAGCTGGCATCTGTAATTTACCCTAGATTAAGCATTGATAGGAGACTGCTTTATTTTTTAAATTTTGGTCTAAATTTAAGGCTTTTTGAACATATTGAAATTCTTTATCCTTTCATATTCCTGCTATCTTTTAGGATCACACATTTTTCAGATACTTATCAGATTGAATATTGGATATTCATTGCTTATGATTTAATCTATGTGGTCACAACTTTCAAAGTTATTTTCCCCAGGTTTTTCAGCAAAATTGAGTGGAAGGTATAGAGATTTCTCATATATCCTCTGCAATCAACATACCACCAGAGTGGTGCACTTGTTGATCAACTGATGAACCTACATATCATAATCACCCAAAGTTCAGAGTTTAAATTAGGATTCACTCTTAGTGTACATTCTATGGATTTTGACAAATGTATAATGACATGATACTCATTATTGTAATATCATACGAAATAGTTTTCCTGCCTTATAAATCCACTGTTAACCACCAATTATTTTGCTGTCTACATAGTTTTGTCTTCT